CTCTGCTTCACATTCCTGTTGACAAGCCACATGGAGCCACGCTGATGGCAGCCAGAGCCGTGGAGATGCTTCCCCTGCCACTGGACCCACAGGACTTTCCACCCACCAGCCTGTGGTCTTCCTGCATTCGGCATCATTGCATGTGCCGCGTGAGTCTGAAGAGAAATTCATGGGCAAATATCAGACTTACAGGCTAATATTGAACTTATGGACTTGATCTGGACTGGGCTGGGATGTTTTCTTAATATGTTATTACTCTTTGATATAAAGCTCTTTCCTACACATACATGAGTCTCCCTGGATTTGCTTTTCTAGTCTACCTGGACTAACACGTCCCTGCATTTTCTTCTAAGAATTTTATAAGTTTTGTTTTCACATTTAGCTCCTTAATCCATTTGGGGTTTGTTTTTGTGTAAAGTGTGAGGTATGGATTCTGTTTCCTTTGAAAAAATGTTCCATCTGCTCCACTCACTGTTGATGAATCAATTCTGATTCATAGAAACTCTATAGAACAGAATCAAACAGCTCCATGGAGGGTCCAAGGAAATAATCCTTACAGAAGCCCATTGCCATTATCATTCTCCCACAGAGCAACTGATGGTTCAAAGCACCGATCTTTTAGCAGTCAAACACTTTAACCACTTGGCTACCCTCAGGTATTGCTCTGATATTGAACAGATTTCAGGGGAGCTTTCAGATTAAGACAATGGTGGAAGAAAGGCCTGGCAATCTACTTCTGAGCAATCAGCAAAACCCCTACTGATTATAACTCCATGGTTCATTCACGTCTAGAATCACCAGGAGCTGGAGAGGAGGGTCAGTGTGGGCTCGATGGAAATTTAAAATATCAAGTTGGTTCTGATTTCTAGTGACCCTATGTACAACAGAAGGAAACAGACTTGCTAAGTGTATATAGGGCACTGGTGTTCGTGGCAGAATTATTGCCTTCAATGCAGGAGACCCAGATTTGATTCCTGTCCAATGCACCACATGTGCTACCACTCATCTGTCAGTGGAGACTTACATTTGCTATGATGTGGAACAGGTTTCAGTGGAGCTTCCACACAAAGACAGACTAGAACGAAAGGCCCAGTGATCTACTTCCAAAAACCAGCCAAGGAAGACTCTATGGATTATAATGGTCTGGTTTCCTATGGGTCATGGGAATGGTTCACTTCATTCCACTGTGCATGGGTCACAATGCATCAGGGCTTGTCTTGACAGCAGCTACCAACATCATGGAATAGTTACTTTGTGTTTACTCTTCAAAGCACTTCAAGCCTTATAATGACACTATGAAATAGATCATACACTTTAAGTGATGATCTTCAGAAATAAAATCAAGTAACAAAAATCTAATACCTAAAGATGGGATAAATCCATAACCATCTGGTTGATTCTGATGCATCGTGACTATATATAGGTCACTTTTGTTCATCTCCCACCTTCTCTTGCCCAGATCCTTCAGGAAACAATCATTTCATGGGGGTTACAAAGACTATGGCTAGAAGAGCTATATCAAGTGACTCATTGCACCACACTAGGTAATACATTGCGTTCTCCTTTTTTGATATCCAGGGCTCCCTCTGCTCTCTGGCATCTCCTTCATCCAGCCACATGATAGACTCCATTACTGCAAGGATCCATAAGCCACCCAAATTCCTTCACCTCCCAGAGCATTTTCAGAACTCCCCAAGACCAAACAAAGGTTTCAAGATTCACCGTAAGGTTGGAGTTGTTGTTATTGTTGTTGTTAGGGGCTATCAGGTCAGTTCTTGGGCGCCATCCTTACAATTATACCTATGCCTGAACTCATTTTGTAAGTACTGTGTCCATCCATCTCATCCACAGCCTTCCTCTTTTTAACGGCCCCTCTACTTTATCAAGAATGATGTCCTTCTCCAGGGACTGGTCTTTCCTGACAACATGTCCAAAGTATGAAAGACGAAGTCTTGCCATCCTTGCGTCTAAGGAGCACTCTTGCCTAACTTCTTCCAGGACATATTAGTTTGTCCTTTTAGCACTCCATGGAATTTTCAATATTCTTCAGCAGCACAGTTCAAATGCATTTGTTCTTCCTCAGTCTTACTCATTCAATGCACATCTTTCACATGCATAGAAGGCAGTGGTTCTCAAGCTTTCTAAGGCCATGGCCCTTTAATACAGTCCCTCATATTGTGGTGACCCCCAACCATAAAATTATTTTCATTGCTACGTCATAACTGTAATTTTGCTACTGCTATGAATTGTAATGTAAATAGTGATGTGCAGGATGTATTTTCATTGTTACAAATTGAACATAATTAAAGCATAGTGATTAATCACAAAAACAATATGTAATCATATATTGTGAAGTATTTATTTCTAATGACAAATAAATGAAATTTTGTCTTGAAGCCTGGTGTAGCACGGGTACTTGTATGTGGGCATATCTGCATGTGGGTGGACCCACCTGGAGACGGATAGAGAAGCGGTGTCTTGGTGCCTAAGACCATTGGAAATATGTGTTTTCCAA